TCAATCCCTGCCGACGCAGTCCGAAAAATGAAAGTAACTTGAAAATGAGTCAAGATGGTCTGGAAACACCTCAATTGTGATACAAGCACTAACCACTTTGTGTTTGCGCCCAAACTTCCGACCCGTTGTGTGTTCTGAGGCGAAACGGTACATAGGGGACTTCCCAAAAAGGCAATTTCCCACGAGGGGGGGGGGGGGGGGGGGTCAAGCCACTGAGCTGAAAAAAAAATATCGAGTCGGGGTATATATTTCGGGTAATGGGATTCCCTTGGTGGAAAGTACTGCAGGGAACAATTTCTATGTTTCTTCGACCCTGGCAACTCACAAAAGTTATGGTAGGACCTGCGAGGACCTCCCCAGATTGGTCCCGAGGGCGAGGTTGATGGGATTGATGGGAATTAAAAACCGGCCATCCTGCTTGAAGAATATAAAACTGGGTTTATAAACACCTGTTTATAAACCTGTTTACAAACCAGACTAATAAACAGCGCCCTACTCTTCTCCTTTTGCCACTCACCACCTTGCCACCCTGTCGAGTAATTCGCGCAAGACGAATACCGAGCCACAAGATCAAAGCAAGTCATGAGAGATGGACGCCATTCAAAAATTCAAAGCCCAGGCGACGGCTTGGGCGACGGACGCCGAATTTCAGGAACGCCGCTGTCCACGCCCTCCGCCCCGCCCTCGCGGCTGTGGAGCGCCGTCCCCGGGAGTACCAGTCCGCGCAGGGCGAGCACGAGCACGGCGCCGATGAGTCCGTTTCCTGTGTCGTCGAGTCCGAGTGACGGTGGGAATGTAGAGAGATGGATGAGGTACGCAACAAAAGGACCAGTTACATTTACTTGTCTTTTTTCTGTACTTTTCTGCTGGAGAACAATGTGCGCTAACGCGACGCACCGCAGCCGAATGCTATCCCCGACACCGACACGGATTTGGATATGGACATGGACATGGGCGCGGACGCAGACGACGGGGAAGAAGACACGGACGCGCACGCGATCGCGGCGGCGCTGCGCGATGCGGGCGTGGACGCGCTCGGGCGTGTCGTTTCTTCGTCCTCTGCCTCTGCCTCCACCGCACTCGCGATCCTCCGCCTTCCTCAAACCCGTCGAGGCGCAACCGTCAACGGCAGAAAACTCGAAAGGACGAGAACAAGAAGCGCGAGAACACGAAAGCCAAGAACAAGAAAGGCAGGAAGAAGAAGGCCAACTCACCGAATCGCAGCTCTCGCGCCTCACGCACGTACTCGAGCATTCGGCGCTGTATAGCAGTGTTTTGGAGCGGCAGATGCGCGAGGGGAAGGGGAGGAAGGGTGCGTAGAGGAGGAGGAGGGTACGTTGTGTTTTCCTTCCTTATTTTTGACTTTCGGTGCGCGTTGCCGCGTCTGTCTCGCGATTGTGCGTCTGGGTACGCGTCCTCTGCGTGCATCGTCGGCTGCTGCGTCCCGCGTGCGCATCGGGCGTCTCTTATTTCTTTGTGGCCTCCTCCTTTTTTACTCTCCGATTTTTGGTCGGCGGCTTTACGCTGTATTTGTACCACCCCGCATTTGCTTCGTGCCTACCTACCTCGTCTTTATACCTTCATACCTACCAAATACTAACCGTTTCTCCAGATACCAACCCTCCGCGCCTGCCCTACTCACCGCAGAAAAAACCACGGATCCCAGCCTTCCCCCAACCACACCAAATAACCGGCGCCACACTGCACCCCTACCAGCTCGAGGGGCCGCAGTGGATGTTGGGTCTGGACGAGCAGGGGATTAGTGGGATTTTCCGTGCGTGTTTGTAGTTTTTTTTCAGGTATTTTGCGGGAGGGAGGAGGTTGTTTTCTTCTGGCGGGGGAGACGAAAGGGAAGGGCAGGAGCAGCAAAAGAGAGGGAATGTGTGCTGGCACGGGCGGCTTCGCATCTTCTTTTTTTTTCGGGTGCAGTACCCTTTCGGCGTTTTCGGTCGTGGCGGTCGTGGCAGACGTGCGCGCGCTGTGGGCACAGGCGATTTTTTTTTTCTTGGTTGTTTTCGTCCTCGGGCGTCGGTATGTGTGATGGGATGCTCTGCGTCGGGTGCGGGCTGCTCTTGGCGGTGCATCGCGCACCCTGCGTCCCACGGAGAGATTCTCTGATCCTTCCTGCGCTCGCCAGCTGCTGGCCAGCAGTCGTTTCCGACGCGTCGGAGAGAGAGAAATGTCGTGCGGCGCGATGCTATCATGCCCGTCGGCGGGTGCGTTGGTGCGTCCCTCGTCCCTGCTGTCTTGGGCGGCGCCGATGTTGCGTGTGCTGGCTGGCAGTGGCACGCTTGGGCTTCGTGCGAGCGGCTTTATGCGACATCCTACCCTCCCCTCCCGCCCGCGATGATGGTGGCGGCGCCGCTGGCAGGACAGAGCGCGTCGTGCGTGGATTGCCTGACCGACCGAATGCGATTGGATTGGATTCGGCAGGGGCGCGGCGCGGATTCGATTGTTGGTGGCTGGAGAGGGAGAGCGCGCGTGCGGGCGGTAGTTGGCGTACGTCGCGCGTTCTCTGGTCGCACGGTCAGGTGTCTTCCTTCGCTTTTTTCACTCGAGAGCGAGCGAGCGGCGACGTCTCTCTCTCTTTTTTCACTGTCGCGCGCGCATGGATTTTCCAGGCTCAGCTGCGTCCATCTCTCGGTGGAATTTATCATTTTGTTCTCAGTTAGAACGAGGTTTTTCTGGGGGGGAGTATAATACCATAGGGTTAGTTAGAGGAATCATTCCGCACCTGGGCTGTAAAAGATGTGCCAATCTACTTTCTTGACATTCGTGGCGTACATGAACCGCCCACTCCCGAGCCTTCTTGCTCAGCTTCAGAGGTAGAATAAACACATAATTCTTGAGTTTGCACTCACTTTGGTTGCAATTATTTCCTTGGCGGGGAAATAAAGAAAAAGAAACTTGAAGTCCCATCTGAGCGACAGTAGGACTCGGGCCCGAGTTGAACAGCGGTTCCCCCAGTACCTTAATATTCGTTTAACGTGTCAAGGGCGTGGACCCTCCACTACCCAGCCTTACCTGAAAAAAAAAAAAAAAATCCCACACGTCTCATAACTTGGACCCGAGTCAAACGGGCACTCAAATGTTTCACCCGCCAAGTGAATTGTTGAAGGTGTGGACCATCCACCAAGCCCTTCTCCTCTCTTTCTGTGAGTAAATATATGGCAGTTTCATGGTTCGCTTGACGAAGTTACACTCGACCTCAGTGCAATCACTTGATTGGTTGGGATTTGTGAACCAATACTCGAGAGAGCCTGTAGTGATCCATTGACATACTGAAATGTAAAGTGTCTTGATGCCGCGCTCGGGAAAGCTGGGCAGAAAAAAAGATCAACCGGTTGCTCAAACATGGCTCGGACGCGAGTCTAACGGGTGCTCCCTCGGGTTTGCGCAAATTGATTCCAAGACAAGCTCATAACCAACAGACGCCTCCACCCGGGCATCCCGGGCATGTTGAAATACATAGATGGCAATTTGGGCCGATTTTGAACCTACGGTGCTGCGGTGGAGGCTCATATCTTCATGATGCTCTCCCGGGACCATACATAACTATTTCTCAACAGCCATTCCACTTCAAGTTTCTGATGCAGAAGTGCTAACGTGAATTATGGGATATTAAGTAATCAACCGTTGCTTTGTTGTAGGTGAACCCTCCATTACTGGGGCTTAGAATTTCACTGAGCCTGTAAGTATAATCGAGAGAATTCAGTTCGATTGAGTCTGAGGCTTGCTGGTATTCAGATTGAATTGGAGGACATAGAATAAGATTGAAGACGGAAAAAGAAATTCAAACCTCACATGGCTCGCGATCGGACCCGAGTCGAACGGGCGCTTTCCATAAACAGATCACAATCCATACATAGTGAGTTATTGTGGGCGTGGACCACCCACCACCGAGGCTTCTTCCTCAACTGCACAGGTAGATTACATGGACAGTTCTTGAGTTTGCAGTCACTTTGAGTGCCATTATTTCCTTGGCGGGCAATTTGTTGAATTTTCCTCATTCCACTCTGTCTATATATATAATTGTTGAACCGCAAGCTGCGTCTGCTGTTGCGTGAGAAAAGGCGGATATATCACATACTACGCGACATTACTCGCGTAATTGAGAAAAAGAATCGCTACTTTCCACACCATGGCTCAGGCCCGAATTGAACGGGCAGTCCCCCAGGATTTTGGTGTTCGTGAATGTATCGCGGGTGGACCCTCCTACCGCTCCTGTTCTGTTACGTGCGTGCAGTTCAAGTGATTTGAATAAGTTTCACCCGGTCTTGGTCTCAGTGATGAGGCTTGATCGAAGTCCGAGTCTTGACATGCTCGAAATTTGAGACACTTCAGCTGCAAAAAATTCTACTGGGGTGGGGGAGCTAGTACGCCTGCTGTGTGCTGAGATCTGAGGACGGGTAAGTGAGAACCAAAGAAAGTCCCAGACGTCGTATGGCTCGGACCCGAGTCGAACGGGTGTTCCCACAGACAACAAGTTTTTCTTGACATTTATCGCGGGCATGGACCATCCACCACTGAGCCTTGCTTACCTCTTACCCTGCATAGAACAAGACACGAGTAATTTCCGAACAAAGTCACAAGGCAATTGTGGGCTTCATTGAGATTCCAACCCAAATATCATCAAGGTACTTGCTTGGAATTTTACTGGAGTGGGATTGTGTTCTGAGGCCGGGTGCGCGGAAAAAGAAAAAGAATTAAACGTGCTGCCTGGAATGGCTCGGACCCGAGTCGAACGGGCGCTGTCTCGGCATCTCGACGTTCGAATAATGTCGAGCGTATACTGGGGTATGGACCCTCCACCACCGGGCCTTATACCACTTCTTTCGACCGTTGATTCAGAAGGATTTAGCTCCAGTGCAATTATTAATATCAGCTGAGAGCTGGTTGAATTTTGTTGATTCCAGCTTTGAAGAGTACAGACTCCCGAGAGGAAGAAAGGCAGATAGATGTAAGTGGAATGGCGAAAAAGAAACATGCCTTATGGCCAATGGCCCGGTCCCGAGTTGAACGGGCGCTCCCACAAACACATTCCAATATTCCTCAGAACGAGAGGTGGGCGTGGACTCTCCACTACCGAGCCTCTCGTCGGTCTTGCTGTTGTTGAATACACGGTCAAAATTAGAGTTCATTTGAATGAGTTTCACTCGGTCTTGGTCTGAGCGATGAGGCTCGGTTGAGTTCAACATCCTCAAAATCTGAGGGCACTTGAGTTGAAATTGTACTGGAGTAGGTGTGCTAAGTGCGCCTGCTGTGTTCTGAGATCTGAAGACGGGTGCGCAAAAAACGCGATCTTCACTTCGCAATGGCTCAGTCCCGAGTCGAACGGGCGCTCCCACACACAGATTACAACATTCCATGCAGCGTCATTTTTGGTGGGCGTGGGCTCTCCACTACCGAGCCTCTCCTCTCTCTTGCTATGGTTGAATACACGGTCAAAATTGGACGGTCATTTGAATCAGTTTTCTTTTCCGTCTCGGTCTCAGTGGTGTCAATGAGCGATGAAGCTCGGTTGAGTTTGACATCCCGGGATTTGAGCCTTGTAGGTCTTGTGCAGGTGAATATTATACTCCTTGAGATCCTGCTGGAGTATGCGTTACGTATATGTCCAGTGCTGTTCTCTGATCTGAGGGCAGGTAAGCCAAAAAAACTGTTCTACACCACTCGATGGCTCAGTCCCGAGTCGAACGGGCGCTTCCACATGATGGCGCCCCTGTCGCAATTGTTGTAGGTGTGCACCACCCACTACCGAGCCTTACCATCTCGTTCTGAGGGTTAATCTTGACATGCTCGAAATTTGAGAGCACTTGAATTGAAATTGAACCGGAGTAGGCGAGCTAAATATGCCTGCTGTGCTCTGAGATACGAGGATGCAAAGGCCCGGTGCTCTGAATCGAAGCTGAAGCCCAGGGTTGGAATAATAGCACAAAAAAGTAGTGGCAGATTGAATGCATCATGGCGCGGGCTCGAATTGAACGGGCTACTCACAGATTATCAATCTCGTTGACCGGGGGGATGCGGGTCGAAACGGGGGAGTTCGGGAGTAACAACATGAACACTAGGGACTTTGCGTTGGTTGGCCGGGCCACGTAGATGGGTAGGGAACTCCGGCCGCGTGGTGGCCAAGCGAATTGCGATGACAGTTCGAAATTTGTTGGTTTTCAGGGAGGGTTGCGGATTAATCCACGGAGCGTGCAATAGTGGTGTGCTTGCCGTGGGAATCGGGGAGGGTATGTACCTTGATAGGCTAAATCGACCCAGATGAGTTTTCGATGACAAGTAGGGTGGTATGAGACAACGTTCAAGGAAATCCCTGTTGAGCTTGTATGCAATTTTGCAGCAAGGAGGCACCTTCAAGGGACGATCTTTTGCCAGAAAATCGCTGGGCACTACCTCTTTCGATTGGTATTACTGGGGGAGCACCAAGTCTGGTGCATCACTGCGTGGGATTCGAATCCATGGCCGTTATCTTGGGACGGCGGCTGGCCTTATCCGGCTGGGACTTCTGGTAGATCCACTTAAGCCCGGTGGCTTAATTTCGACCTCGAGGGCTCGATGTGAGAAGTTCCCCGAAGCCAACCCGAAGCTACACTCAAACCACTTTTTTTTTCTTTTTTTTTCGGTTTCGGATCCATTGGAATCCATCGCAATCAATTCCCAGCGGTTTATAAGCTACTTCCAAGTTCCGCCCGGTCGAAGCGTGGGTTTTTGTGGTGCGAAGTATTATTATGAATAAGAACCTTGCGTGGCAGTTCCGTGGAACCTGTCAGATAGATGTCAATGCCACACGTTGTCGCCACGTTCCTTCACCTTGCCCTCTTCCACGACCATGTCCAACCACCCTGACTCAAACCAGCGAAAGCGCAACTTCCTGGGTGACAATCAACAGCACAGAAACACTCCAGGAGCCTTTCCGCAGGCATATCAAAGCACAATCCCAGCGGCATCTAACGTGAGAGGACTCCCCGCACCTCGCGCGGCTACGGGTAGCTCTTTTCGTTCATAGTATTTTGGCTACGGCTGATTACTTTGACCAAGCCTCAAACCCTGTACCCAAACATGTCAATAAGCGGCAAAAAATTTCGAAAGGAGGTGATGCCGAGACTGGTGCGTCTTGGTGTATAACATACCTACAACCTTGACGAATCAAACCAGATGAATCGGATTCTGAATCGGATACTGTGCAGTCGATGCCAGGTGAGTACCTCGAGATGTTCAGGTCATATTTCTTTCCCCGCCTAACTTGAGACCATGCTTTAGGCTTGCTTAAGACACGGTATTTTGAGCTCTTAGCCCCGATTCCAATCTAACAAGTCTTCCACTCGCAGGCAACAGCCCATGGTCGGAACAATGAACATCAATAATTTGACCGGTACGGGAAAATCAGCTCAGACACTTGCATAAGTACTGAATTTGCATAGGAGGTTACGGGGGTCACGGGGGGGATAGTGAAAACCAAGCTGGTGATGGGGGCCTCGGGCAGGGTCCCATTGTCTACACCAAGCAGATGCATGTTGAAAACATGTACGGATCCTCTAGTGCCGTACGGTGATGTGTTTTCATCCTTGTTCAGCCACTGAAAGCCCGCTTATAGACAGATCTACTGCCCTGGTTTGCTCCCAAAGCACTGTTTAATGCAGACACAGCTGCCGGAGGGGCAGCAAGGGGGCCTTGCACCAAAGAGACTCGCCAGGAACTATTATCCCGCGTCAAACAGTGGGCATGTGACACCTCTGACAGCTTGCCCATCTTCTGGCTGAGCGGCATGGCTGGTACCGGCAAATCAACTGTCACCTACACCCTCTGCGAGCACTGGCGCAGAAACAACTGTCTTGGTGGATCATTCTTCTGTTCTCGAAATGATGAGAAGGCTCGGTCCCGGTCTTACATCATTCCAACTCTTGTCCACCAGCTCCTCTATAGCCACAAGCCTTTTGCCCATTCACTCCGTGACGTCCCTATCAACGTTGTCGGTCCAGCATCAGCCCAGCATGTGGAGGAGCTTCTGGTCAAGCCTTGGTTGCAGAGCATAGATTCACAGTCCTCTATCCTGGAACAACCACCTTTGCTGGTAGTCATTGATGCACTCGATGAAATTGAGGGTAACCATGATGGCCCTCAGCTAATCAAACAGCTCATCCAGGCAGTTTCTGCAATCAATCCAAGGCTTTGTGGGCTCAAATTCTTTGTCACTAGTCGTCCTCACCCAGACATCAAGAAAGAATGCAGCTCTATTGACCAACAGGCGGTTTATCAGATGGAAGAAATTACTACAGAGAAGGCATTCGAGGATGTCGGTTGCTTTGTCAGTGCTCAGCTCCCTGATCTGCATCCTAATTGGCAAAAGGCCATTGTTACCAACTCATCAGGGCTATTTATCTATGCTGCAACTATTGTGCGCTACCTCTGCACTCACAGCCCCCCCTTGTCCGAAAAGCAGCAACAGAACCGTCTTACTAAACTGTGGAAATCTGGAGTCAACACAAGGGTGCCAGATAGCAAACATGGGATTGACTCATTGTATGATACCATCACTCAAGTGCTCCACAATAATTCACCAGAGGTGGAGATATCCAGACGGGTGCTCTACGCTGTTGTGACTACTCGCCGACCTCTGACAGTCTCTGACCTTGCTCCACTTGTTGTTGATGCAAGTGAAGAAGCAGATGAAGAGGCTGTCCGCAACAGTGTGGATTTCTTGTTCCATGCTGTTTTGTATATCTCCCCATGGGACAAATGCATCTACACATTCCACAAATCCTTTGCTGACTACATTCTTGACCCAGTTCGCTGTCCTGAGTGGGCAAACATAGCCACATCTTACTTTAGGACCCGGACACAGGACTGCATTGAAATCATGAACAAGTACTTGCATTTCAACATGTGCAACCTTGAATCATCTTTTCTTCTTGATAAAGAGGTCAAGGACTTACAAGAGAGAGTCGAGACCACCATCAAACCTGAGCTCCGGTATGCTTGTCAGCATTGGGCTACACAACTAGCATCAGTAAAACAGGATTCCAAGGAGGAGGTGCAGCAGCTTTCAGCATCATTACTAGGGTTCTACAGGTTGAAAGTACTCTTCTGGATGGAAACAATGAACTTGCTCAAGTTGGACTGTCAATTTGCAACAAACCTGGCTCGCATCTGGGTCTTACAGGTAAGCACACACAACATTAGTTCAGTCCGGTGTTTTTACATTGAAGTAGGTCCCAAATGAAGAAGAGCTCAAAAACTACACAGCTGCTGTTCAGAGACTCTGGGCTTCATTTAGCCGAGGCCAGCTTAAGGAATCCACACCACATCTCTATGTCAGTAGTCTTGCAACAGATTTGGCCTTGACCTCTGCTGTGACTGTGACAAAATGGCGGCAACACTTCTCGGGGATACCCTCCATCAAATGCAAGGGCATATTCCTGTACAGGATGCTGATGAAAATTGAGGGCCACAGTGGGTGGGTGACCTCTGTGGCATTCTCACCCGACGGTGCACACATTGTGTCTGGCTCCGATGACAAGACTGTCCGGATTTGGGATGCCATAACAGGTACGGAGGTAACCAGAATGGATGGCCACAGTGATTGGGTGACCTCTGTGGCATTCTCACCTAATGGTGCCCACATTGTGTCTGGCTCCGATGACAAGACTGTCCGGATTTGGGATGCAACAACAGGTGCTGAGGTGATAAGGATGAAGGGCCACAGTGACTGGGTGAACTCCGTGGCATTCTCACCCGATGGTGCACATATTGTGTCTGGCTCCCGTGACGAGACTGTCCGGATTTGGGATGCAACAAGCGGTGCTGAGGTGACCAGGATGGAGGGCCACAACAGGTCGGTGACCTCCGTGGCATTTTCACCTGATGGTGCACACATTGTGTCTGGCTCCCGCGATGAGACTGTCCGGATTTGGGATGCAACAACAGGTGCTGAGGTGACCCGGATGGAGGGCCACAGCAGTTTGTTCGCCTCCGTGGCATTCTCACCTGATGGCACGCACATTGTGTCTGGCTCCGATGACAAGACTGTCCGGATTTGGGATGCAACAACAGGTGCTGAGGTGATCAGGATGGAGGGCCACAGTA